TTCAATTTCACCCTGTACAATAACAAATGCGTCTACAACATTTGTGAAGCATTCTCTTCGTATATAAACGCCTTAGAAAATCATAGGTTACCTTGTATAATTTGTACCAATCATTCTTGTTTCATTTTATTGTCAGCCTATAATTGAGATTTCCATTAATTTCCGCTAGCTAGTCTCCGGTGTATTTCTTCATCTGTTGTTCGATCCATGTGATGTATTTCGGAACGTATGCGTAGACTCCAGGCAAATGGGGGTGGGCGCACTTGATGCCCCAACTTACTATGCCCCCCACATACCACGTGTCTGGATCGCCGCTATCGGAGTCGTGGCACAAGAGGGGCCCCCCTGAGTCCCCCTGGACAAACAAAACTCCGTTCAGTGGCACGGCCAAAAATAGCTATTTGTATAACAAGGGAGGAAAGTGCTTCTTCAGTAATCATCATTCAAGGCAGTAAAAAGGTACTTAACGTATGTTATACGTATGATTTTTTCACCTCCCTCAAATAATATGTCAAATACTGTCTGTAGGTTAATCGAGGAGGTGGTACATTCATTATGCCAGAAAATATGAATACTATTTCAATATACCTACGTGTAGTTAGGACAAATCAGATGATTTGCCCCAAAATGTCACTGCGTTTTTTCCTATCAGAGAGCCTAAAAGAAAAATTCACCAGCTTGTCAGTGACAATTTGTATTGAAAAAGGTTTGGAGAAGAGAAATAAAGGTATATAGAAAAAATATCAAAATTTTACTTATCTTTGGACGTTTTGGGAACGAATTTGCTCCTGTTTTCAACATAAAAAATGGATTTTTTGTTTTACAAATTCGTATTTGTCCTGACACTTTTCATTCTCAGTGACAATTGGTGACGTTGGCAATCAAATGAGTTACAGGATGTTTTCATTAATTAATCTTGAATTTATCATTTTCATTTTCAGATTTCGGTAGCGAATACCATGTTCTATCTATATCAACTGAACAGGAAGCAATGCTATTGTCTCCGTTCAGAAGAATGCAAGCAGATTCCTCGATTTTTCTCTTCTGCTTGTTATCTCCTTTTCCAATGATTACAGAACCGAAAAATGAAGAACAATAGTCAAAAAATTGTATTTACAGTATACCTCGTGTTTGTGGAAAGTTTTATACAGGTGAAACCAAGAGACATCTTTCAGTAAGGACGAAGGAACATAAATACAATATGAAGAAAAAACACATCGACAAATCGAAACATATCCTTATACTGAAGATGGACAACCTATGGCAGAGTGGAATAATATTAAAATCATTGGAAAAGAAGATAACAACCAGAAGAGAAAAATCAAGGAATCTGCTCGCATTCTTCTGAACGGAAACAATAGCATTGCTTCCTGTTCAGTTGATATAGATAGAACATGGTATTCACTACTGAAATCTGAAAATGAAAATGGTGAATTCAAGATTAATTAATGAAAACATCCTGTAACTCATTTGATAGTCAACGTCACCAATTGTCACTGAGAACTGAAAACTGTGAAGACAAATACGAATTTGCTAATCCATTTCGTAGATTGAAAACGGGAGCAGATTCGTTCTCGAAACGTCCAAAGATAAAGTGAAAATTTTATATTTTTCCATATACCTTTGTTTCTCTTCTCCAAACCTTTTTAAATGAAAATTGTCACTGACAAGCTAGTGAATTTTCCTTTTAGGCTCTCTGATAGTAAAATTCTTTAAACGCAGTGACATTTTGGAGCAAATCATCTGATTTGTCCTAACTACACGTATATTGAAATAGTATTCATATTTTAATTTTTTATTTTATAGAGACGAGGACAGAACATCCCAAAAAACCTGGAATGATGAACAATATGTCATTTTTAAATAATTTATTTATGAAACTACCGAACAGAATTTATTAGAGAGAAGAACTAAAACTAAGAACTATAGGTAGGTACAGGGTGTCCCACTTCAATGTGTCAACTCCCTTTATACTCGTAATTCTCAACATATTTTGGTCATTCAATAACGTTTCTGGAATAGTTTTTTTCGAATTCTTTGAATCTGTGTTCCCTTCTTCTTCATATCAACAAAATACAGGGTGGCTTAAGACTCGGCTATGACTGGTGAAGTTTGGCAGGCTTATTTCAAATGATGATGTTATGATGATTAAAATAATAAGAATATCGTTACACAGTTATTCAATATTGAATTGTGAATGGAGATTTTGTGATTTTGAATACATTGTTGAATTACTTTGCTGTTATATCATGTTCAAGCCTCAAAGAAAGTATAGTGTCTCGTATAGTGTATAACTCGAACGACATGCTAGTATGACTTGCAGCAATTGCCTACAACTCAACCTAACACAACGAATGTTTGGTTATTTTCAAATGTCGATAGAATGAAAAATAACAACAGAATTATGGTGAATTTTTCAAGCTGCATATATCATCTTTCAGACATGACATTTCAAAAAGACTTATTTTCTCACCCTGGAGTGTTACAGGATGATGACGAATAACCTTGTCACAAGATCCTGAAACTTGCTGAGCTTTCCAATATAATGGGCCTGATTCAGTAAAAAAATGTAGACACATTTTCTAGCGATTTGGGTTAAATCTTCATATTTTGAGTTCAGGATTGCATAGCTTGAATATCTCAGATAATTAGTAATAAAAAACACCCTGTATATTATGATACGATATATTTCAGTGCATTCCTACTGTGGAAGTGAATTCTTATTTCTATGTGGAATATGGGTATATTTTCATTGGCTGTTGAGCTAGCCTGCTTGAGAGGTGATTATTTTCATTATTGAAAAAAAAAATTGTGATGATTTTAAATAATAAACGATTGTATCAAGTACAATTCATTCATGGAACAATCAAATTTTAAATGAATTTGTGGCGTCTAGTGTCTAGTCTGAAGCTTAGGTTGTTCTGTCGAAATAGTACTGGAAGTTTTACTTCAACTCACGAGAATATTTTTTTTATTTTGAGAATTTTCACCTTATTTGCTACCCAGAGATCATTTCTTTGTTCGTGTCCACTCATATCTCCTGCCTCAGAGTTTGTTTTAATTAAAAAAAAAATCTTATGAGTTTGCACAGCTTGTGGGCTGAAACGAGTAATTAACAAAGTTTGAGTAGGAAACGAACCAAGCTTTGAAAATGTTGAAGGGAAGAAGAAACAATTGGATGAAGCTGGGATGAAAATAAGGGATAGTAATCACACTGTCACAGTTCGAAGTCTGGAAATTATACCTTTTCGAATGCCACGTTTGATAGATTCATCATTCAAAATTTCATAATAATTATTATTTTTTGGTGACGGGTAACAAGATTTTCCATAAAATTATTATTTTTCCACGGCAAAAAAGTGAGTACTTTTGCCCGCATATACAGGGTGGACCATTTTAATCTATTATGGATAATAGTTCTTCCCAAAAGGTTTCAACAAAAGATGAAGGATTCAATGGGGGCCAAAGAATGACCTACTTAAAACCCCCCCCCTAGGGCCCCCATACGACCCTGGGAGATGTAAAAAATGTCTCTAGCAAATTCTTTTTTGGGCCCCTTAAAGGGCCCCAAATTCTTAATTTTGGTATTTGGGTCGAAGAAAACAAAGAATCTTCATTGGCATGTGATTCGTTAACCAGATTAGGGGTTTGCTTAAAAACATGGTAATATGCTGGAACTGCACTTATGTTATCATATTTAAAACATAGGTTTGACCTGAGCCTAAAAGTTATTGCAACTCAAATACCAAAATTGGCCCTTTAAGGGGCCCAAAAAAGAATTTGCTAGAGACATTTTTGATTTGTTTTTTTCTGTAGAACAAGAATCTGTTGTGAAAAAATAGGGTTTCCATTGAAAAAGAAAACATTTCATCTCCCAGGGCCGTATGGGGGCCCTGGGGGGGGGGGGGGTGGTTGTGAGTAGGGTCATTCTTTGGCCCCCATTGAATCCTTCAACTTCTGTTGGAATCATTTCTTTGTTAGCGGCTTTCGGAAAGGACTATTATCCATAATATATTAAAATGGCCCACCCTGTATATACCTAGTACACTGTTGATGGCTCTTGTTGTGCCAGTTCCGAAAAATAAGCTATTAACACCGTCTCCGAGAAAGAACTGCAAGTCCTTTTTATCTTTCATTCCATAAAATCGAATCACAGAATTAGATTGACAGATATTTGATCACTTCAAATGATTTCCACAGCAACAAAGATGCCTGCAACGCGGGTGTAATTGTCGCAGCCTACCACTTGAACACTTCAAATTTTACGTAGATTACTTTCTGATTTTGATATTATGGAATATCTTCTCAATATTGAATCGACGTTATTCCTCTCTGTCACAGAAAAAAAGTCTATTATACATGGGAAAAACTTCAGATTTCAGCTCTCGGTTTCACAAGCTCGAGCTAAAATCTAACACATTCTTCCCTGTATAATAAATACCTATCATTTCCCTCATTAATTATCATTTTAACACCATTTGAAAATATCCCTAATTTTACGGTTTATTGTCATCTTATAAAGACAATATCATTTCAAATCGAGAGCAAATATTGAACGAATACCAGAGGCAGAGTATCTCCAAGAGTTAACTTATACATTATCTATAATAGGCATCAAACAAATTCGGTATTTCATCAGGTATCTACCGATGTTGATAATTAATTGCAACCGACAAACCGATAACCCCAATGAATGATGGTATCGAAATAGCTGTGGATTAATAATGGCATGCCCATAGGTAGTGATGTGTCAAGTGGAATGCTTCGCGGAATTATGTGTATGCCACAGGGATCACGTTTGGGTCCTTCAGTAGTGCTATACCAATATTGCCACCTGTGTTCAACAAATATGTGTGCGTATAGATGGAGAGATCCCGTGTTCAAATCCCTACTCAACCTGTACCTTTTAGTTTTATTTTTTTACCTTCCTGAAAAATGTACTGAAGAGGCATTTACTGTTGAGGCCAATAGTGATTCGCTATTTCAATGATGTTCGCTCACCTGACAAGCATCTTTGCCACCCTCCTTGTAACCAGCGCAGATCATCCCTTCTGTGACGTTCAGATCGCGGTTCTCCAGCCAAGCGTTACATAGGTCCCTGTTCAGGACTGGGACCACTACTTCGTTGATCTCCGGTTCGTATTCGGACACTGGAAATATGGATGTTATTCGAACGGAATAATAATACAAAGAAAAAAATACAAACACTAAGTCGGTCGACCACAAATTTTAATTACAAAAGTTTTGTGACTAGTTTCGGCTCAAGCAGCCATCTTCAGATACAATATACAGTACCTGTAAAGATATTGGTTTACAAGAATAATATGACATATTGAGGAAAAAACATAACTATAAAAGGACACGTGGAATCACATAATTAATTGAATTGAAATTCGAATAGCAGGGCCAAAAATTCAATCCGGTGAAAATATTAATACTTTTTTGAACCGACTGAACAGCCAAAAGAACCTAATAATAATTAGATTCAACATTGGCAAAAATTGGGAAAAACCCAGCAATAAATTCACTCAAAGGAGTTTCATCTTAAAATGGCAGTTTTGTGAAAGACAAGAGCCAAGGAGAAGGCAACGAAGTGTCAAGCATAGCAAGGAGATTTATTGGATAGAGGTCCTTCAGCCTGTGTAATTATACGTTGAGTTTAAATTCATCATTATTGTATGTACAAGATATATGGAATTATTAAATATGCTAGTGTAAAAAAAAAGGAAAGTCTATTGTGAAGCAAGCATTTTGGAGGAGTTCCAGTCTTCTGAATTGATTAAGCATTCCAATAGTGTGTTTTCCGGAAACTTCCGTCTTGGGTTCACAGTTGGATTCTTCTGTAAACACTGGAATTGGATAATTTGGATATTGGATTCGTTTTTGGAAAACTTCAAGGTTAGCTTTTTCAGTCTCTCAGAAATTTGTTGCACCCTGGCCAGCCGATAGAAGTTCGTTTGATGGGTGGTGAATGGGATTTTGAGGGTGCCGGATTTTGGTTCTCAGGCTCTCTTTCTGCTACTTCCAAATTGTTCAGTGCCGTCTTCCTAGTGTTTATGTTTATTGGGTGAGTATTTGAACGGAAATGATCTGAAAATGTCAATGTGAGGAACTTCGGTTTTTGTCTGATTTTCGGATAATAATTTGGTCTCTAGTTGATAAAACAGGATGTTTCGAAATTCGACCGGAAACGCTTCACAGGTTATAGCTCTCGTGATTTTATTATTACTTAGATAGGGACATAGGATCTTCAATTTCAGTTCTCAAGATATATTGTGTGAGTTGAGAAATAACAGTAGATTGTTTTATAAGGATCAAAAGTGACACTTGTTTGACATGTCCAACATAGTCACTTTTGATCCGTATGAAACATGCTATTTTTTCTGCAACCGAAAGGATTTACTAAAATAAATATAAGTGAAGTAACCATCAATCTGACGAACTTGACAGATTATGATAATAATATGAGTAAGTGGATATATGCAAGACCTCAGACTACTTTACTTTGTTTCATTTTGTGTTGACATGCACCATGTCATCAGACTGAAGGCACGAATTCAGTTCTACTCGAAACGTTGATGCCATGCCATATTATGTATGCAATGCAACAAATTATCCGTGTGGTGACAACATTCTACCTGCATTTACAGATGAGGTTTATTCAGTTTTTAATTCATATTTGTTAGATCGGTACATATTTCTGATATTTTGTTTGATTTTACCATGAAGGTTTCCTTGGTGAACTGAAATTCACTTCTGATAGACTATTTTCCGAAATATCAATCGGGATAATGAAATAATGAAACTATATAAAAGTTGGGATTTAAATCTGGAAGTTTTGCTCACTTATCTCAGTGTTCTGAAAACTTGTCTCTTTCCATTCTTCTCGTTACCTACTCACTGATTTTATTCTAATTAGACTAATTTCTGTATCTTCCATCATCAGTTCCTGAATTCCATAATATAGATTAATCCAGATTGCATCCAGTGTCTAGATTAACTTTTCAATTAACCAGACGAATATTTCTTTAGATTTTTGAATTCCAACGAGTTCACTAATCATCACCAATAACTTTAAATTGAAACAATAATTATTTTGATTCTGAGGAGAAATAAATGTATTTTCAATTCAACTAGGTTGTTGGTTCCAGAGGCCGTGAGTTCTTAGTTTCCTGAAAGGAAATGATCGGGCATCAAAATTCACACGCGGGAGAAAATGGAATAAATGAGATATTATTGAGACTCGGGAGATAGACCGCCAAAAGCACAGTTTCAAGAAGGACGCTCTCGAATATATGCGTTTGTTGATTAAATCATATATCTTGGGAGAAAATGGATACCTTTGCTCCCTTGATATATAAATATCTATTACGTCACTCGAGACTTTCAGGTAGAGAAGGATCAGAACTCACTTCCAGTGTCTTCCTTTTTTCCCCAGCCGATGACGGTGCACTTGGTTCCCGGTTTGAGTTCTTTATCTGCAGACGGTAGACACACTGGAGATAGATGTTCGTGGAAAGTCACACGGCTCGAGAGCTGGAAGAAAATTAATAATATAGCCTATCCTTCACTGTGAAACCAGCAATTCTTGAATAATATGTTCATTTCATGGAAGGCTTTGTTTCGAAGAGCAATTGATATTTTGAGTTAGGGTTTCCGATTTGAATTTTTCGTATTATTCAGTTTGCTCCAATTTGAACTTCAAGGACATTTCTTGCTTTGGAAATAATGCAAAATAACGTATTTTTTTCTTATTCTTTGAAAAAATCACGTGGTTCACAAAATTGTTCTCAAAATTCTTTCTTCTTTCCTGTCGAACTTTATTTAATCTGGACAAATTTGTTTTTTTATCGTTTGTTTAGACTTATATTTCGTGAAATCCAAAAAAAAAACAGTCGAGGAACACGTTCACCTGCTAGATATATTTTTTCTGTGCAACAGTTTTTACCGATTTGGATATTTTATTCTTCCAAATGATAAAAAATACTGTTCTAGACTCTCAGGAACACATTATTATTTCAATCTCTACGACATTCAATTACTTTGTTTCCGTAGCATGCACTGTAGTTCGGAGAATAATTGTTTGAAATTGAATAAGCAAGAGTTTAATTGAAAAATGGATTTGGAAATTCTGAGTAATATAACTTAACACAACTGAAACATTTTTTATTGTGATTGTAATGTTCAAACATAAGCGATCACTTTGTATCAAGTATGACTGATTTTATTTGAGCAAGAAAATCCAATTTTTAACATTTCCGATTAGACAAAATTCCCCCAGCAGATGAATGAATGAATTACATCTCCAATAATTATTCAAATTTTTCGTAATTTGACAAGTTTGAAGTTTGAAAACGCCAAGAAAATCAGAATTATTCAAATGTTCCGTTCTGATTTATTTGAAATTTTGGTGGTGGATTGGATGAGCGCATGCACCATATTTTCAAAATGGCACTTGAGCATACTTTGTACAAGGACGATAAAATCCTCTGTCTACAAAAACTTCCAATGAATATCATAGTGTGCCATCCCCAAATATCCTCATGAATATCGAAATAATGTACAAATACTGAACGGTTAGATCCGTGAGAAGTATGGAAACGTTTTTGACCGATTTTGCTATATTTGTTCTGTTTACTGGACTAATTAGCTAGACACCGAATTTGCGAAGCTTCGAGAATATAGTTTCAGTTGATCGGCATTAATAGTAGATTGTTTAATTAGGATCAAAAGTGACACTTTGTTTGACAAGCGACTAGCGAGACCGAGCAAAAGCAAAATTTCCGAGTCAAACAAAGTCACTTTTTATCCGAATGAAACATGCTATTTTTTCTACAACCGAAAGGATTAACTGAAATTAATGCAAGTGAAGTTACCACCAATGTGACTCACTTGACAGATTATTATAATAATATGAGTGAGTAGATAGAGCAAGACCTCAGACTACTTAACTTTGTTACAATTTGTGTTGACATGCATCATGTCATCAGGGACTGACGGCACGAATTCAGTACCACTGGAAATGTTGATGCCGTGCCATATTATCCGTGTGGTGAGAATATTCTACCTGCATTTACAGATGAGGTTAATTAAATTTTCAAGAAGGTTCGAATTGAAGTTTCAATATAAATACAGCCACAGAGCGACCTATTCGTGTATTCTATTGACGTCATATCAATGAATTCATTTGGACCAGGTGCCAGCCCTAATAGCAAATACCGCGCCAGTGCCAGGTAGAAAAAAGACGTTGAAAATGTTAGGTTAGTGAGCATATCGACAATAATAATAGCGATTATTTATTTCTCTCCATATGTCACTGTGTTTGGCTCGGTAATGAAATGAACGTAAATAATATCGTTGAGTGAGGTGAAAAGGTATTTCTGGCCGTGATTGTTCAAAAACTAATTATCCAATCAATCAGATCCCGATAATAACGAATGAACTACAGCTCGAGCAAGAATGCGAATCTTGAAGAATTTCCTGATCAAAACAAAAATATCCAGCATGGGTATGAGATGCCAAATCTGCAGAGATCAGAAACAAATCAGGTATACGTTTCAACTCAAATAACTAACCTCAACAATATTGTTAATTCTTGATGACCTAGTACATCCCTATTAGATTCTAGGAAGTAAAAGTGTTACCTAGCAACATACCTATGATTGTGTCAGTAATAGAATCGCCAATTCAGCAGGTAATTTTGGAATTAAAGTAGACGACTTTTGTGTCGGTTACAGAAAAATGTTATCGAAAATCTGTGATCGGGGAAAATAATGCATCAATCGTTTTTTTTTGTAACTCTCGCCTTTCACCTCACCGCATTCCCTACTGAAATCGCTCTATTAGTTGCCAGTTGCCATATTCCATCACCCAACCTTTTATGCGAGATCACAATTCTCTTTGCCAGCGATATTCGTCGAGCTTTTATCATAAAAACAAAACGGAATCCAAAGTGGATTAAGTTACCGATTCGAGGAGCATAGGCGGCGGTTATAGAAGGTCAGAAGTGGCATCACGTGCCTCCCCCTGGAAGTTATCGAGAGGTCTCCTGATTAGCAAATCTTTTGATTCTTTTCGTTGAGAATTATTCTTGATCTTATCAAATAATTATTGTTATTAATTTCAATACATTTCTGGGATTCCCCTTCTTTGTTTGAATATTTTTCGATTCAATTGCTCTCGTATGAGAAATCATCTATAATAATTATTTTTGCCTGCTATGCATTGTTTTGTTGTATCCTCAACCACCATCAATAACAAATCAAAATCATACATTTGCTCTTGTCTCAAACTATTAGGGAGGGAAATATAGAATAGGTAATACAAACTTTCCAAATATGTTCCTTGGCATTATGTTATTTTGATAGATCCTTGCCCGCCCCTGGGATTTTGAATTTCCGGCGCCTATGTTGGTCTCAAATGGGGTTTAATTTCGTTCACCTATAATTACTTGTAGTTTGAATTCCACCATGTGTTGTGTTTATCCGTAGAAATGAATAAAAATCAACGTTCTTATTGATTATCATTAGTATGGTCTTATATACAGGGTGTATCTAAATAACACCGAAAAAATTCAAGGGGTCCTAACTTGCTCCGTTTTTGATATACAGGATGTTGAAGTTGAAAGTAGTAATTGTTTTAATTTATAACCCCCCTGTATGAGCTTTCATGGTGCCTAGATTCAGTATGCATGGAGACTGAGAAAGCCCCATAATGATTCTAATTGGGGTTATTAAGTAATCTCAATGGAAGTTGAAAACACCTACATTAATTTTTTTTGTTAACTCAAAAACTAAGCTAGATACAAAAATCACAGAGGATGGAAAAGTTGTTGTTCCAATAGTTCAATCTAATAAAAATATGAAACTCAGAAAAACCGGTGGTGTACAATGACATTCACCATGAATATCGATAAATTTACCCACGGTGACGCCACTGGAAATATAATTTCGAATCTAATTGCACTAGATGAACCTCCATATCACTATTAACAAAGCTACAACGTTTTATTGAAATTGATGAAAAGACAATTGAGAAATGAATAGAAAAAAGATTTTTCATGAAAATATTAACACCCTTTTTTTCAGAAACTGCAAGAATGAAAGCTGTCAGTCACAATATAGATAATGAAAACATATTTTTGACATCCTCGAAAGTCTCCTTTTCAAATGAAACTCCACATGGTACAGATATATAATACGTTTTTTTGAGGGTAAATACTCACTTGAAATGAAATACATTTAATAATGTTTGATTGTTAAAATATTTGGCCTACACAACATCATGCCAAATTTGTCGGTTTTTCAAGAAAAACGTAACATGATGTTTTCACAAAGTACGGAACTCTTAGTAGTCTGAAAAAACATATAAAAAAACTATCCAAGGTTATTCATTCAGTCTTCGAACTCACCTGGAATAAAGCTACATCGTTATCATGTGCAACTCCTAAGTTGTACATCGGATGAGGTACTACCCGCTTCACTTTAACTTTTTGCCCGTAGAACGAATGCGCATGTCTTCTAGTAATGCCCAGTTGGATGGTCCATCCCGAAACGTCAGAGTGACTGAAAATTTAAAAAAAATCTCCATGATAATTGCAATTTTCCACATTTTCGTTTAGGATAATGCCCTGTGAATGCTCAGTTACAGTAACAATCTGAAACGTTGTTCAGACATTTTATCGAGCACATTAACTCTGGTACATGAAAATTGTCACCATTAACGTCAGAGTAACGTTGTTATAAACTTATAGTTTCCTTATGAATAACAATATGTCCAGAACGATGTACTAATGGAAATATCGTAGGATTGCTACAATATTGATATCATGATGACATCAACTTCTCGTAGTATAGGTGAAATCCCACTATTATATATGTTCAATTTACAACGTGAATGTTACATTGAAATAATGGTACTTCAACAGGGATTTGAAGAAATGACAAAACTTGAAGGAATTTCAAGACTTCAAAGGAATTACAAGACAAGAACAAGGGTGATGTTCACAAGGGAATGTTGATATTATGTTTCTACGGACCTACTTCTGCGTATGTTTCAGTGATGTTAAGATTACGTCAGTTATGATGGCAATAGTATCAAAGTTTCGAGAAAAACTCACTTTCCTACGCAATGTGATGCTGTCAGTACCCATTGATCGGCTATGAGGACTCCGGCACAGTAGAAAATTTCTTCCGGGCCACCGAGCAGAGCAGCAAGGAATGGCCAATCGCCCGGTTTCGAACGAACGCCTCCGACAATCCTCGTGCGCCTTCGGTCTGCATCGTAACTTCTGCGAACTTTTCCGCACTCTGAAAGTAAATTGCTCATGGTTTTCGACAACGCCCTGTGTTGGCTATCCAGGCAGGGTGAGGGTGTGTGCGGTTGTATATTTTAAGATCACCACACTGGATAACGGGCTTTCTTCAAAAATGTGGACGTGGGCGAATTTGGAATATCCATATATTTATTATCTACTATATTGTCTGAGTAATTTACTCGAATGAGCCGTACTGTGTTGGCGAAACATTTCGTTTTTCAAAAATTTTTGCAATTTTTGAAATTTTTACAATTTTCAGGAATTTTTCCAATTTTCAGGAATTTTTGCAATTTCTGCAATTTTTGCAATTAGGAATTTTTGCAATTTTTGCAATTTTCAGGCATTTTCACGATTTTTGCAATTTTCAGGAATTTTTGAAATTCTTACAATTTTCAGGAATTTTTCCAATTTTCAGGAATTTTTGCAATTTTTGAAATTTTTACAATTTTCAGGAATTTTTCCAATTCAGGAATTTTTGCAATTTCTGCAATTCTTAGGAATATTTGTAATTTTTGCAATTTTTTGGAATTTTTCCAATTTTCAGGAATTTTTGCAATTTTTGGAATTTTTCCAATTTTCAGGAATTTTTCCAATTTTCAGGAATTTTTGCAATTTCTGCAATTTTTGCAATTTCTAGTAATTTTTGCAATTTTCAGGAATTTTTGCAATTTTCAGGAATTTCTGAAATTTTTGCAATTTTCAGGAATTTTTGAAATTTTTGCAATTTCCAGGAATTTTCGCAATTTTCAGGAATTTTCGCTATTTTTGCAATTTTCAGGCATTTTTACGATTTTTGCAATTTTCAGGCATTTTTACGATTTTTGCAATTTTCAGGAATTTTTGAAATTTTTGCAATTTTCAGGAATTTTTCCAATTTTCAGGTATTTTTGCAATTTCTGCAATTTTTGCAATTTCCAGGAATTTTTGAAATTTTTACAATTTTCAGGAATTTTTGCAATTTTCAGGAATTTTTGCAATTTTTGCAATTTTCAGGCATTTTTGCGATTTTTGCAATTTTCAGCAATTTTTGCAATTTTCAGGAATTTTTGCAATTTTCAGGCATTTTTGCGAATTTTGCAATTTTCAGCAATTTTTGCAATTTTTGCAATTTTTGCAATTTTTGCAATTTTTGCAATTTTTGCAATTTTTGCAATTTTCAGGAATTTTTGCAATTTGCAGGAATTTTTGCAATTTTTGCAATTTTCAGGCATTTTTGCGATTTTTGCAACTTTCAGGAATTTTTGCAATTTTTGCAATTTTCAGGCATTTTTGTGATTTTTGCAATTTTCAGCAATTTTTGCAATTTTCAGGACTTTTTGAGATTTTCATGCTTTTTCGAGATTTCTGCAATTTTCAGGAATTTTTGCGATTTTCAGGAGTTTTTGCAATGTTTGCGGTTTTTGCAATTTTCAGGAATTTTTGCGATTTTTGCAATTTTCAGGCATTTTTGCGATTTTTGCAATTTCAGGAATTTTTGCGATTTTTGCAATTTTCAGGAATTTTTGCAATTTTCAGGAATTTTCGCGATTTTTGCAATTTTCAGGAATTTTTGCAATTTTCAGGAATTTTCGCGATTTTTGCAATTTTCAGGAATTTTTGCGATTTTGCAATTTCAGGCATTTTTGTGATTTTTGCAATTTTCAGGAATTTTTGCAATTTTCAGGAATTTTGCGATTTTTGCAATTTTCAGGAATTTTGCGATTTTTGCAATTTTCAGGCATTTTTGCGATTTTTGCAATTGTCAGGAATTTTTGCAATTTTTGCAATTTTCAGGCATTTTTGCGATTTTGCAATTTTCAGCAATTTCTGCAATTTTCAGGAATTTTTGAGATTTTCAGGCTTTTTTGAGATTTTCAGGCTTTTTTGCGATTTTTGCAATTTTCAGGAATTTTTGTGATTTTCAGGAGTTTCTGCAATTTTTGCAATTTTCAGGAATTGTTGCAATTTTCAGGAATTTTTGCGATTTTTGCAATTTTCAGGAATTTTTGCGATTTTTGCAATTTTCAGGCATTTTTGCGATTTTGCAATTTTCAGGAATTTTGCGATTTTCAGGAGTTTTTGCAATTTTTGCAATTTTCAGGAATTTTTGCAATTTTCAGGAATTTTTGCGATTTTTGCAATTTTCAGGAATTTTGCGATTTTTGCAATTTTCAGGCATTTTTGCGATTTTTGCAATTTTCAGGAATTTTTGCGATTTTTGCAATTTTCAGGAATTTTTGCGATTTTTGCAATTTTCAGGAATTTTTGCGATTTTTGCAATTTTCAGGCATTTTTGCGATTTTTGCAATTTTCAGGCATTTTTGCAATTTTCAGGAATTTTTGCAATTTTCAGGAATTTTTGCGATTTTTGCAATTTTCAGGAATTTTTGCGATTTTTGCAATTTTCAGGCATTTTTGCGATTTTTGCAATTTTCAGGAATTTTTGCGATTTTTGCAATTTCCAGGAATTTTCGCAATTTTCAGAAATTTTTGCAATTTTCAGGAATTTTTGCGATTTTTGCAATTTTCAGGCATTTTTGCGATTTTTGCAATTTTCAGGAATTTTTGCGATTTTTGCAATTTTCAGGAATTTTTGCGATTTTTGCAATTTTCAGGTATTTTTGCGATTTTTGCAATTTTCAGTCATTTTGCGATTTTTGCAATTTTCAGGAATTTTTGCGATTTTTGCAATTTTCAGGCATTTTTGCGATTTTTGCAATTTTCAGGCATTTTTGCAATTTTTGCAATTTTCAGGAATTTTTGCAATTTTCAGGAATTTTTGCAATTTTCAGGAATTTTTGCGATTTTTGCAATTTTCAGGCATTTTTGCAATTTTCGCAATTTTCAGGAATTTTTGCGATTTTAGCCATTTTCAGGAATTTTTGCAATTTTCAGAAATTTTTGCGATTTCTGCAATTTTCAGGAATTTTTGCGATTTTTGCGATTTTCAGGTATTTTTGCGATTTTTGCAATTTTCAGGAATTTTTGCGATTTTTGCAATTTTCAGTCATATTTGCGATTTTTGCAATTTTCAGGAATTTTTGCGATTTTTGCAATTTTCAGGATTTTTGCAATTTTCAGGAATTTTTGCGATTTTTGCAATTTTCAGGAATTTTTGCAATTTTCAGGAATTTTTGCGATTTTTGCAATTTTCAGGAATTTTTGCAATTTTCAGGAATTTTTGCAATTTTCAGGAATTTTTGCGATTTTTGCAATTTTCAGGCATTTTTGCAATTTTCGCAATTTCAGGAATTTTTGCGATTTTAGCCATTTTCAGGAATTTTTGCAATTTTCAGAAATTTTTGCGATTTCTGCAATTTTTTTTTTCCAGGAATTTTTGCGATTTTTGCGATTTTCAGGTATTTTTGCGATTTTTGCAATTTTCAGGAATTTTTGCGATTTTTGCAATTTTCAGTCATATTTGCGATTTTTGCAATTTTCAGGAATTTTTGAGATTATCAGGCTTTTTTGCGATTTATGCAATTTTCAGGAATTTTTGCGATTTTCAGGAGTTTTTGCAATTTTTGCAATTTTCAGGAATTTTTGCAATTTTCAGGAATTTTTGCGATTTTTGCAATTTTCAGGAATTTTTGCGATTTTTGCAATTTTCAGGCATTTTTGCGATTTTTGCAATTTTCAGGAATTTTTGCGATTTTTGCAATTTTCAGTCATTTTTGCGATTTTTGCAATTTTCAGGAATTTTTGCGATTTTGCAATTTTCAGGTATTTTTGCGATTTTTGCAATTTTCAGGCATTTTTTGCAATTTTGCAATTTTCAGGAATTTTTGCAATTTTCAGGAATTTTTGCGATTTTTGCAATTTTCAGGAATTTTTGCGATTTTTGCAATTTTCAGGCATTTTTGCGATTTTTGCAATTTTCAGGAATTTTTGCGATTTTTGCCATTTTCAGGAATTTTTGCAATTTTCAGAAATTTTTGCGATTTTTGCAATTTTCAGGAATTTTTGCGATTTTTGCAATTTTCAGGCATTTTTGCGATTTTTGCAATTTTCAGGCATTTTTGCAATTTTCAGGAATTTTTGCGATTTTTGCAATTTTCAGGCATTTTTGCGATTTTTGCAATTTTCAGGCATTTTTGCAATTTTTGCAATTTTCAGGAATTTTTGCGATTTTTGCAATTTTCAGGCATTTTTTGCGATTTTTTGCAATTTTCAGGGATTTTTGCGATTCTTGCAATTTTCAGGCATTTTTGCGATTTTTGCAATTTTCAGGCATTTTTGCAATTTTTGCAATTTTCAGGAATTTTTGCGATTTTTGCAATTTTCAAGGCATTTTTTGCGATTTTTGCAATTTCAGGCATGTTTGCAATTTTTGCAATTTTCAGGAATTTTTGCGATTTTTGCAATTTTCAGGCATTTTTGCGATTTTTGCAATTTTCAGTCATTTTTGCGATTTTTGCAATTTTCAGGAATTTTTGCGATTTTTGCAATTTTCAGGCATTATTGCGATTTTTGCAATTTTCAGGCATTTTTGCAATTTTTGCAATTTTCAGGAATTTTTGAAATTTTCAGGAATTTTTGCGATTTTTGCAATTTCCAGGAATTTTTGCGATGTTTGCAATTTTCAGGCGTTTTTGCGATTTTTGCAATTTTCAGGAATTTTTGCGATTTTTGCAATTTACAGGAAGTTTGCAATTTTCAGGAATTTTTGCGATTTTTGCAATTTTCAGGAATTTTTGCGATTTTTGCAATTTTCAGGAATTTTTGCGATTTTTGCAATTTTCAGGAATTTTTGCGATTTTTGCAATTTTCAGGAATTTTTGCGATTTTTGCAATTTCAGGAATATTGCAATTTTCGGGAATTTTTGCGATTTTTGCAATTTTCAGGAATATTTCCAATTTTCAGGAATTTTTGCAATTTCTGCAATTTTTGCAATTTCTAGTAATTTTTGCAATTTTCAGGAATTTTTGCAATTTTCAGGAATTTCTGAAATTTTTGCAATTTTCAGGAATTTTTGAAATTTTTGCAATTTCCAGGAATTTTCGCAATTTTCA